TCTTGCAGTCCTATTGATTTTCCCTGCTTGAATAACCAAATAGCCCTTCCCATTCCCCTCGAATGAACACCGTATGTTTATCAACAGGAGAAATCTCAAACTTGCACCTACGATCCACTCTGGGGCTCCAGACATTTCTGGATTCTTGTTCCAAATACGCTGCGGACTGATTTCAGGACAGAATTAGCTTTGGATTAACTCTGGATTAGCGTCTCTTGGGACATTAGCCCTATGTGTTCAGACATTTGACTCACCCTGTAGTTATCCAGGTACTAAAATTTAAAAAATATTAAATGTGAGGTTCATCTCCTCCACTGACATTTTTTCTGCAGCAAAATGCGGGAATTTAAGTCAGCTGATGTTTAAAAATCCGGCAGTTATTGGGGTCGGGGGATTTAAATTTTCATTCAATTTCCTATTTCTATCTACTTCCTCTCGAGGACTTTTGTAAGAAGCACCGTTTTATTTTTTTTTCCGCTTCCACGAAAAGGAGAAACAAAAAAACCCTGAAACTTGATACACAGGAATTTACCAAGATGCATATTTCGCGAAGAATCGGCTTCATATCTCCATTTGCACGCTTGCCAATTTCCGCACTGAATCAACAGCGCAGTGAAGCAGTTTCATACCCAGGCGATTTCACCGCCTTCATCGAAAAGGTTTCTTTCAAATGAATTTACCATTTTTATCATTAGCCATTTCGCAACGGATCTTTTAGAGAAAGGTCAGTAGGACTCTTATTTTCTAAACCGTTGAAAGATCTGCTGGGAGATCGAAATCTTCAAGATGAGGAAATTTATGAGGGCCTCGATTTGAGTTTCCCCTCACCGGATCACATATATTTATATTTTATTTATTTATAATAATTTATTAGAAAATTCGCAAAATCTGTCCGTCGTGGACATGTGAGGAAACTTTGCGAGTCGCCACCGAAGAAATTTGTGAGTAGAGTGAGAATGGTGTATTACAAGTGGAATATTATTATTATAAGCGGAAGTAATTCAGGCCGGAAACTTTCTCAAAGCCTGTCGTACATGGGGGGGGGGGGGATCTATTAATAGACAGGGTATACAGACGGGAAGGGCGGGAGGGCATCTCGGTTTCCTTGCGGATCGCATTTCCTCTGCCGGTCGGAGGGGTATGCTTCGCCTGTCCGTGGGTCTTTGGTGGCTTTTCGAGGTTTCGCATTGGGTCTCGGTTCGCGGAGTCTGTGAAGGCGGGGTATCGATGGGATGGCGTTACGTCCGGGACTGCATTCCCTTGTGCGCGACGGGTCGAATTCGGGGGGCGAATGCCTCCGCTGGGAGGGTTCGGGCGCTTTGTGGTCGTAGGGTGAAAGCCGTGGGGTTGCGTTCTTCGAAGGAGGCAACTTGGCATCGAATATTGCAAAAATGCAATTGCAAAAAAAAAAAAGGCAAAAATGCGTGGGTCATTTCTGGCTCATTTGTGACATAGGTTTAGCCTGTTCGATCCCGTTTTAGCGACCCGAGGCTCACGTAATTTTAGGAAATGCTCTGTATTTCATGAAAACTACTATTGTGGAGTGAGAAACTACCTGCTGTGTTATCTACTGAATCTTCAAAGTTTCTGCATAACGGAAGGCAAGAAAATTAAATCCTTCCAGGAAGGAGAAATTCTTCGCCGTCTTGATTAATAGAAATTTGTGATGATAATTGCAATTATAATGATTATGATTATCATAATTATAATGATTATGATTATGATTTTGATTATTCTCCATTTTACTCTACTTCATTCGCCTTGATCCCAATCATGTATGTGAAGTACTGCTTTGCCCTGAGTTAATCTGTGGCGAAAGGATGCCAAGATTATGTAAAAGTGCAATTTTAATGTAACGGCAAACATGGAATCAGAGGTTCTTCGTTATCCTCGTTCTCACCTTCGCGTTGTGCCCCTTCTTATTCTTGGGCACCTCACACGATTCTTGTCCGTCTCTCAGTGCAATATAGCTATAAATCGGAGAATAGCCACCTGGGAGTGATACCGATCGCAGGAAAGAGAAAATGATAATAGTAGGTCTCAGTAAACTTGATACTTTCGCGCCAGACGCTACATATGTTGACGTTCTTCATTGAAAAATGGCACACATCTTGCAATGATCTCGAAATGGTACCGGTTTCCACATTTCTTCTCATTTTCGGGTTTGGAAAAACAGCCCAGGCTCTCATGAGCAGATGCTGCCTGCACTTACAGATACACAAATAATAGCGATCAAGTTTGTTACTCCATCTGGGGAATCGGGTGCAGAAAATGTCCAAAAACGCCTCTAGAAACGATATGGGAACGGGTCGAGCCGGAAGCCAGGATCGGTGAAGTCGTTATTGTCTCGATTCCCATGGAGACCTCGCCTTCTGCCTGCCAAGTTTCCTCCGACGCGGACTTCGAGGCCTGGAAGAAATTCCACGGCAGGAAGAAAATGGGCTTTCTCGTCGCGATCTGCATCTGGATCCTCGGGCTCATGGGCTTCTTCATCTGCTTCCTCCTGATGCGCTCGCCGATTGCCTTCGTGTTTATGGTCGTCGCTCTCGGCGGTATCATGGCAATGATCAAAGTGCCGTTTCCCAGCTTCGACAAAGGATACAGGGAACCTCGGGTGAGCTCGATACCATTCTTCTTGTTTTCTTTTTTTCGTGAAAGGATTCATTTTTCGAGCAAAAGAGACCTTATATAATACCTTTTTTTTCATATAACCTTTAAGGAGCTACTCAGTCGTAGTAGTCGCATGTTTCAACGCTAGAAAGCAACGCTGAAGAGATAATGTGCCCTTGAGTTGACTGCATACACCAATGGTTTCAAGGTATGTGTACCATATTTAAAACACCATCATCGTCGCCCAAAATTTTGCCGTCGACCATAGTGGACACCATGCATGAAAGGGTTAAAAATCCCATTGTCTCAACTTGGTATACTGTACTATCACTCCACGTTGATCATTATTTTTATTATTCTTATCTGAAATTGCAGTCGGAAATTTTTTACTTCTCGTACGTAGCATGTTTCGCCTTTCCTACCCTAACTCTTACATAGAATCCATAGTATACAGAGATAGATGTAACTATAATGCTATATTTATAGGCATTAAAGGAATAGTGGATCTGACGAAAGATGCTTATATTCCGTGGTATTCTACGTTTTGTTCAACCCAGTCCCAATACCTAACATCGATTGCGTTCCTTACGCAGTGTAGGGCAGCAGGAGTGGATCCTCACCTCTACATGTTCCCAAATGTCCCCTACCTATTTGTGGAGAACGTGATGACCGTGATTCTCAATAGCACCTGGTACGTGCTGATGCCCGAGGAAGTCACGCTCCATGCGAATTTGGCCACGAAAATCAAATGCCGCGTTCACCGGGACGCAGTGGACGCGGTTCGAGGGAAGTCCTGGCACCTCAAGTCGACCTTCCCATCTCCGGAGGAGGGACTTCCTCCCTTCGCTCTGAAACACTTCGACTCGGGAATCCAGTCGAGGACTGACATGGTGGAGGTTTTTCTCACGGATTCCCCGATCGCCTTCAGCCGCGACTTGAATCGCGCACGATCTCGGTCGCTTCCTGCCTCCCCTGGGACGAGCAGGCGATCCCCTCCCGCCTCTCAGTTTCAGCCCGCATTCTCAAAAAAGTCCGATCTGCCTCCGAGCTACGAGGATGCGACAGAAAAATCGAGATCGACGACCGGAGAGTAGCGGACTCCTCGGTCTGAATTCCTTGGTGAAACGATTTCCATCGTTCCTCTTTCGGGAACGGTGTTTATCCCCGTGGAAAAATGTTTGCTCCTGTGTGTTCCTATTCTTCCTTCACCAAAACGCTTATCGGCTCCGTAAGAGGATTCGTTTCTGGAACTGACTTCTCCTTTGTTTAGTCTCGCCTGGAATTACTTACAAATGCTGAACACATCAAGCCGCTGGAACCGTTTGTTTTACACCAATAAATAAATAAAATTCACTCCTTGAATATTCAGAAAGTTTTTTTTTTTTAAATCGATTCGTTTGAAAATTAAGGCAAGACATTTGGGAATCGCGGTTGATTTTCAGCCTATCAGATTCCATGGTTGTGGTATTACCTGCACTCTTCTCCAAGCCCCAGAAATCGTTGCAGCCATTTTAAATGCACATTTGCCGACTTTTGAGGTACATAAGACTTACAAAGTATCGAAAGTACTTTGCCAAAAAACCAAGTTCAAGTTAGTATGTGATTATTTTCAAGTCGATGTGCCATATGTCCTGCCCGCAGTAAAATTAGAGCGGAAGGCATAACATAAACAATAACAAGGATATCCTTCTGCCGTCCTCATGGTGCATGAGATTCGGAGTTAACCTTCTCCTGCATTCGGGGATTTTTTTTTTCGATCAATATCTGGTGGAACCTGGAGGATCAGCGAAATTGAAAAGTTTTCTCCTCAGAGTTCTTCAGGGCAGTTGCAAATTTGCTGACGTAACTTCACACTCGAAGTGTAAAAAAACCATGATGGTTTATCTAAAATATATATGAGATGGTGACTGACTGACGCTAATTCTAACCATGTTCTAGACATGGTGAAAGGCTGAAATTTGGTACACAAACAGCTGTTAGATTGCCGAGTCCAGAAAAATTCCAACTTTGGGGGTGAGTGCCCTTGAGGGCACATTCCGGGGGGGGGGGGTCTCATTTTCTGAGCCTAGGTCAAAGCCTCGGACGGCTTAGGCCTATGGCATTCTTAGGCACACGCATCCTTCAACAAAGCGGAAGGAACGTGAATAGCTGCTAGGTTGTCGACTTCAGAGAAAGTCCAACTTCGAATGCCAACTTTGGGGGTCCATGCCCTGGGGGTACGTTTCAGGGGGGGGGGGGGGGCCGATTT